TGAGCGTGGAAAGGCCCGGCATCTCGTACTGTGAGGTGAGAACGAACGGGTACCTGTATGTAAAGGCGATGAAGGCTTACCAAAATAGCTTTGTTTGGAGAGGCGTTTACTGTAAGAACCATCCGATAACGGCGTGGAGGCTGCAGAATCCGAAAGAAACATGCAGAAGAAAAACAAAACAAAACCGCGAAAAATGACCGAACCATCTACGCCGCGAGTGGTGCCGCAACACTACTCAAAAGGCTAGCAAACACATGCCAACCCGCTTTTGTTTTCAACGACGCCCATGCGGGGACACTAATGCAAAGTTCAACTTCGCAAAGAAAGGAATAACTTGAAGGAAAGCCTCGTATGCAAGAAAGAACAATTGGAACCCTACTTCCAACGCTGATCGAAGGGGAGAGAGTGGAAGGATCCCATATTCGACAAAACTACTTGTTGATTTGAAACAAACACAACACGAGACGTTGTACGTAGCTACTGACGCCCACAGGGTCCAACGCGACCCAAAACGAACCAAAGTTATAGAAATTGCGAGACAATCACACACAATGAATGTGAAATATGAAGGCGGACGTCTTGACGTCCGTTTCCAAAAATACGCTTAGATCCCTCGTTCCCAGTTGAACCCCAATTATGCGTCTACTTTAGTTAATGAGGCAACTACAGGCTCCCCAGCCCACTGGAGCCCGAAAGACAAGTAAGGTAAAAAGCACATAAAGGGCGACATTGATGATGGAGGGCAAGGCTGCATGATGAAATGTTAGGGAAGGTGGGACCGCCCACACTGAGGCAACGAAAGGCGCAATGTATGCGCCTTGGCGTTCCCACAGCAACCTAGATATTCTATCTTAGTTAAAAAGACGCACTAGCTGTCGCTACAACGACCGACAGCTGACAGATGTAAAGTCGTCAGATGTGTGCGTCCACGGAGGAAGTAAGTGCGTGTGATGGCAAGGGGCACCGCAGGTGAAAGAGAGCCGATATTTGTTTTCGTGTGGCCTCTGGCTTGTTGTGTCTCCCGCCGGCGCCTCGCAGCGGCTCTCTCTCGGTTAGCCGCCCGCTGTTCTGGTGTCGGTGGCTGGCCTCGCTGTCGCCTAGCGGCGGCTCTTTACCGGTCAACCACAGCATTTCTGTCCGTACTCCGGTCCCCTCGCACACCAGCCGTCTGACGAGCAGCAGCGCTCGCCCGGCCAGGCTGTGGGCTGACTAGGGACACCCTCTCCCAGCGGATTTGTCTGCGCCGGAAGTCTGTGTGCTCCTCTGCCTCACGGACGGAATTCGGGTCAATCGACGGCAATGGATATCTATTCATTCAATAGCCATGAGCTCACAGCAGCGACACCCTCTATTCGCTGGCTTCTGTACATTGTCGTTCGCTCTGCCAGCTCTGCCCGCTGAGCGCGTGTTATCTGCTGTGCGTGTGCGCCTGATGTGCGTGCGTTCTGCCGCTGCAATCTGCTGTGTGCGGTCTTCTGACCCCACCTAAAAATCAGGTGATGTAGGCTACAGCCACACGCACAACCTTTTTCTTGATGGAGCTCTATATTGCGCTGAGACCTCAGGCCAGAATAGAAATCTCGCTTCGCTCGAATGACCATTTCCTTAGACTTACTTACGTACCCGTGAGTTCCAGAATACAAATGGCCACGAGAAAAGCAATCCAACATCAAATCGAAAAAGGTATGCATCCGGAACATCCGGAACGTATGCCCTTGGACACGGTGAACATTCATACCGAACGACAGCCTTTTCGGAAACTGGGTTGGTTCCCTTGACGCTAACGCCCTGGTGAGTGGGATGAAAGCAATGGTGATACGCAGCAACCAATGCACAGTTCTCTGGCTGTCTAGGGTTTGAATTGAAGAATGTGTGGCTTAGCGTTGAGTAACAACATATTTCCTATCGTTCCTACGGCGGTCAGACAAGCTACAACACAAGACGACCCCAACACCATTTTTGCGGTTCCGTTGGTTCCGTGTGACGAAAATATGTGGATATATTTGCGCGGGTCCGCTGAGCAAGCGGCTTGCGTACAGTACACCGGCTGAGAGTAAACGTGAGTCAATATTTGTTGGGTATGGCGTTCGACGAACCAAGCTGATGAGTGCAAAATATAGCTGTGGCAGGCATTTCGCGTAAGAACGGAAAGACGAGGCACGGCGTATTGTGTGATGACCGCGGTCGGTGTCGTACTGCTGTAGACACGTAGCAAGTTCTCTCCGCTACAGCAGCAGTGCTGCAAACGATATCTATTCTTCTTCACGGCTTGACGTCCCTCGGTACATGTTGTATGGCCGGGTTAACGACATCCTGGAAGTGTGTTGTGACCTCCTGCAGAGCCCAAATACACAAGACGTGTTGAGTTGCGGTTCTCTGCGTTGCCAATCCTGTCGTCCTGTGCTTCGGTGCTGGTGTGCACACGCGGCTGTCACACGGATGACCAAACCCCAAACTCGCCATCTCGCCAACGCGCGACCTAACGTCCGAACCCTGATATAACATATGAGACGTGCTTGAACTACATTTGGTCCACACTGATCTGCCGTGTACACACGCCACAATGGATGTGTGTGCTCTACAGCGGCTATACAACTAACCGTTTATTGCCGCTCTGTGTACGTAATCGTGCACTGCTTAAGATACCGCATGCCTAGAAATCGTCACTAAACTCATCCGACCACGACCATGGCTCAAGTTAGAGAGTACCTGTTCCGTTGGTCAAACATTTTGGCGGTCGAGGGCAGCCCAGGGCTGTCGTATTCAGTCTCACACAAAGGTGTGCAGCGTGCGCAAGAAAGTATATCCAAGAAAATCTCCAACTGCTCTATTTTCAAGTAGTGCGACGGAATGAATCCTTGGAGTAAACAACTTCGGGTGATTATTATGTTGTACGAATGGGAGTTATTTCGCCGTCAAAGGCTCACGGGGTGCATGATGTGTGTCTACCTTTTGCCGTCGACTACAGTGTGGTTGGGATTGCCCGAAATGGTGTGATCCATGTGAGGCCAGTGCCATTGTGTTCTTGCCCTCAAAACATTTCACAGCTTTTGGTACATCTCTTTGGAAGATGGGTTCGCTCGACATTTCAGGCTGTGCAGGACGTGTGCTGAGGCGGGCAGAAAGAAACGGTGCAACACACAAGTATAAATATTCGAACAAATTCTGTGTGTTCGACAGGGTGGAACCAAACGTTTCGCGAGAAGGCCTGCCCACGCCTACTACTACCACTTCCACAAATTTGGATCAATTTCGTACTCTGTATTCCCCAAAGGGTGAGCGCCACACCATGAAATCAAACACACCCTCAATAGTGCCGGACCGGCACTAATGAGGGCTATTCGAAACCTCTATAGTTCCGGTGGCCTGATTTAGTGCGGTTAACCCTATTAGGAGTCCAGAGAACAGGAATACACTCTACGGGGTTGACGTCGTCGTCCCTCTACAGAATGTTTGGGAGAGAGAGCCGATCAGGCACATGTAAAGGTTCGAATTGACTTCCATGGAGGAAGAAATATATATTCGGCAAAATTCATGTAATTTTCTCCCTCTCCGCTCTCTTCATTTTTATTTTTCCAGTCTATGGTTGTTTCTTTGTTTTTCCTTTTTTTCAGTCTATGGCTACCTCGCATAGCGTGCAGAGGCGAGCGGAGTGTCCTAGACTATCTGTCGTTGTTTTCTATTGACTTGCGGACCCTTTGGGTCCACTATATTTTCGTATCCCTTCTTTGGATAAGTTAGCCTGTGACCACGGGAATCAACCGCGTGGAGGATAAGGTACTGAGTAGAGAGAACGGAACAGTCTTTAGTGTGAAGACAACAACAACAACAACAACAACAACAACAACAACAAAAACACACACTGAAAGACTACCCGTTTGCGATATAACCACACAGTCGAAAGAGATGTGCCAAACGCGCCTCGGCAAGACCATGTTTGACAAGTCTAGATAGACCATATACTGCTGAAGGGAAAAATATTGTCTCCTTCTCAGCGTAGTCACGCAATAGTCTAAGCCTACTTGTAAAAACTATTGTTCGGGGACGCCTACCTTGATAAATTTGTCGCCTTGAAAGGGAACCAGAGACAACACTCCCAGCAGCAGCTTTTCATCTTGTGTTCTCCTATCGCCTTGGCGTGAATCGAATGTAAATGTTACGTGCACGCGAACCGTTCCTTTGCACAGCAAAATGGATCGCCCTCGTGGGCAGTATTACGTAGTGTGGTATCGTATACTCCGCCCAAGGCAAACATCTGCCGGAATCCAACCCGAGAGAACAGTAACCAAACTCCGTGTATACTGTGCTGTAGGCTAGGCAGCATGCTCGCCGTTCATCAGTGTGTTGAGAAAACATACATACCTGGTATCGATGGCTTTCGGGATCTGTGTTGAATCTTGCTGCTGAGGAGAGAGGTGCGATGGTGTGGTGTGTGCGTAGACAGTCATAAGGCTGTGTTTCTTCATTGCAAATATGTGTTTCTTCATTGCAGCAGTATCGCAACGAATTCATCTACTCTGTGTTGCGAAAGCATTGACCGGAGCATGCTTCCTGGGGAGACGCTAGTCTGTAGACCGAGAATATTACGAACCGAGAATATTACACGACAATATTACGAACACCCTAAGTGTAACAGTACTCAAAGTACAACAGCTTGGATAACAAGGTAGTTTTCCACACCGAAGGGCCTTCATAGGCATCCTAACAGGCTTCACTGTCGCTGAAAAAGGACGCGACGAACGCTCGCCGTCATCACGATTGGAAAGGCCGAAAGAAAGGCTGCAAGAAATAGGTATCGAAGTGCGAACAGTCGAACCCGGAAGGGAGGCTGCAATGCGAATCCAAGTGAGAACAAACGAGCCCGACAGGGTTTGCAAATCCCCGTTGAATACATGCGGCCGCTCGTGGTCACAAGCCAACTGCCCCCCGTAGGGGGGGGGGTACACCTTTCCAAAAAAGAAAGTATCGATGTGGTCAATTGTACATGATTCATTCAACACTCATGAATCCTCGAGATAATCTTCGTCGTCCACCGCCAGGGTGACATAGACGGCTTTATTTCCAGCATCCGTCACCACGCCAAGATCCTTCAGGAAGGACGTTGGAACTGAGCCGTAGAATATCCCTCGTGCGCACGTAGCCACCACCCGACTACTCTTCGACGATTGCGGATTTCCAGACACTCCTGCACATTAGTTCGAAACCACCGGAGTTCACCGGTGCAGCACGGGGGGGCAACAACATTGGCAGCAGCGAGATTAATAGACACCATCCCTTGCAACTACTGAACGAGAGTTCCGGGAGCCAACAATATTTTCTACGCGGTGCGTATCTGCGTTTCTCTTATTAGCGTATCGCCAGACTTTGCCCTTGTTTGTAGTTCGTTATTCTACACGTCACTCTCGGAACAGTTCTGAACGAGACGATAAACCTGCTACTCGGAGCCGACCATATTTCCTGCGCGGTGGCGTAGCCCCGTTTCCTCCTCATTCTCCAAATATCGTATCAACGGAATTACGTCCTTGTTGCGTAGCTCATTTTCTCCCAAAGCGTACCCTTGGTTTCCCCTAGTAGCGCATCCACGTGAATTGCACAACACAAGCAGAATATATCGACGTAAAAGGACGGGCATTCCGAGAGTACCTACCTTGGTCCTTGCCGACGCCCGAAACGCCGACGCCCGAATCCGCCTTTTGGGCATCGAAAAAACGAAGGCGGCTGTCGTCGAAGAAATATTCTCCTATCTCCCCATTGGAGTCGCGCAGCACAAGATCATCAGCGCTGGACAGGAGTGCATCCTTCAACGGCTTCGTGCAGTTGGGCATAGCCGCCCATAGGTCATGGAATCTCTGAGGTACGTCGTCGCATTTTTGACCTCGGGACAGGGCACGGTCAACCACCAAGACCGCGAAGGTCAAGTACATGACCCTGGCATCGTAGCCCTTCTCGGTGCAAGGGTCGATCTTTGAGAGAGACAGGGCAGCACAGGTACAAGTAGGGTGTAGGCAGGAGAAACGTTACATAGTGAAAGCACCACAAAGAGGATGCAACGAACAACGACAAAATTGAGGACGCATAACGCACAATTGAGGACGCACAACGCACAGACATATCTTACTCGAAACCGACCAAAGAAAATGAGGGTTGGCGTAAGAACATGAGGGTTGGTGTAAGAATACTCTCTTGTCGACACTCACGTACTCCAGCAGAACCTGCTTGTTGACGGGCACGACCGTGGTAGAAGTTGACACGAACGCAGGAATCAGCTCTCCACTCCTGGTGTTGCAGCCACTGATGAGCGTAGACGTGTTGGTAAGTGCCGGGAATTTCCTCTCTATCCGCCCGAAGCCTTTCTTGAAAACCTTCTTTGTTATTCCAGTCTGGAAAACATCCCTTCCCATGCCGTCGTCTTTGTAAGACCCCCCTACGAAGGACATCAGGACCGGGATCCATTTCTCCGCCATACGAACGACGGCGGCTAGGCGCTTGTTGTCGTTGGCACTGAAATATGCCGCATCGTCCTCCGTGAATGCTTCGAGTACACAATTGTACAGTGCCCTCACGTCAAGCCATCCGTGACTCTGCATCCGACTTGCCGCCCGTTTCATTTGTCGACGCGTGCCCCCGCGATGATTTCGGTACCCTTTTCGGGCTACAGTCCAACGACTTGTCAAAAACATTGGGCTCGCAGAAGTAGTCAACATGTACTCGAAGGGCGAGCGACGATACCAACTCTTCGAAAATCTCAACACGAAGCTGCTCGCGCATGTATTTACGTGCTCCATGCGTTCACCCGACCCGTTCCAGTTCGGTCCACAGGTGTTCCTTCCTCTGCGAGTGCGCCGATAATCGCATTAGTGCACCAATAACCTTGAGGTCAGGCCCACCAGTAGCAGATCCTGTCGTGTGCAAACGGAAATGAATGGCAAAATAGCGAATGATCCTAACGCACGTCGTACCACACCACCCAATACAACCGACGCCGCTGACGTCGTTGTCCCACAGGCGATGGAAGGAAAGTAAAATGCTCTGAACTACCTTTCAAGCGATTCCTCGGGGAAAAAGAATAATGTTTCAAGCGATGCCTCGCATCGTAGTGTCATGAGACGACAGTCCCATAAACGGGTGATGCAAGACGGAAGAAAGACAGCAAGACCAAGGAAGCCTTCATGCCCCCAAAGCACATTGTAACATCAGGACGAACTAAGCCAACCAACATTGTAAACCTTCGTCGCTGTATACTGAATGGTCTCACGTTGTTCCTTGTCCGCCTTAGATGCGCGGTGAAGCCAACGGAGAACGGGCTCGCGGGGTAGAGTGCCATTGCGTAAAAAGCATAAACCGGCGACATGTTCTCCTTGGCTTCGGCGTTGACACGGACACGAGCCAGCTCTTGTTTTAGGCTATCCCTCAGCTTCGTCTGTAAGGCGATGATGTCTCCCTTCTTGCCCTCCATTGCCATCTTTTGAAATCCCTTAGCATCCTTCTGATCGCCAAAGCGAGAGCCTTCTCCACAGGCGGTGAAGGTTTCCTTCCAGCCAGGGCCGAAGAATTCTTCGGCTCGACGAGGACATATATCGGTTTGTGGGGACTGAGCCTGTCTGATGAGCGGCCCCAAGAAGGTCGCCGTGTCCAGCAGTCGTGGTTGCTGCAGGGTAGAAAACAGTACAAGGGCATCGACCATTTAGAAGGTTATAAAATTTGGTCACAAACAAGTGCAGTTATCCTGGTTCAGGATAAAAACGTTTGTGTCGCACCAAACGAGTGGGCCATCCCGTATCCCTCGTGAACCCGTACACCGTGAATACAAAGCATGTTCGAGAAAAGGCAACACAAGCATCGTGAAATCTTTTCCCTCGGCAGTTGGAAGGCCAATCACCACAGAAACAAGTGAATCGACGGTCTGGACAACGACAAATAGCCGGGTGACCCATCGAAAACCACGGCACAATTCTACCATCCGGCCGGGTCGATATTGAATATCGAACAACCCGAATACGGGGTCCGTCAATCAACCCGAATACCGCGGCCGTCAGGTTGTTTAAATTGATTCAAGCTGAAACATGCATCTACGAGACACGTTGTTGGTCGTCAGCCTAACCGCCTACGCGGGAGCGTAGTCGGCCGCGTACATAACCCAGGGATATGATCAGTCTCACGGCTTACGCATACGCGGACGCGTCAACGACCACGCCAGCCTAGTCGCCTACACGGGGGCGTAGTGCGCCATGTACACGACCCTGGAGTATACTGGCGATCGGTTAGAAACTATCGTGAAATGCCAAACGTTAGGAGGCAAGTGGACATGCATCTACGAGACAAGTTGTTGGCCGTCAGCCCGACGACCTACGCGGGAGCGTAGTCGGCCACGCACATAACCGTGGAACATGAGCAGCCTCGCGGCTTATGCATCTGCGGGCGCGTCAACTACCACGCCAGCCTAGTCGCCTACGCGGGGGCGTAGTGCGCCATGTACACGACCCTGGAGTATACTGGCGATCGGTTAGAAACTATCGTGAAATGCCAAAACCTTAGGAGGCAAGTGGACATGCATCTACGAGACAAGTTGTTGGCCGTCAGCCCAATGGCCTACGCGGGAGCGTAGTTGGCCACGTACATAACCGTGGGACATGAGCAGCCTCGCGGCTTATGAATCCGCGGGCGCGTCAACTACCACGCCAGTCCAGTCGCCTACGCGGGGGCGTAGGCTGCCATGTACACGACCCTGGGGTGTACTGGTGATCGGTTAGAAACTATCGTGGAATGCCAAAACGCCCGGAGACTACCTTACCGGTCAGCGTTTCATGTGAATGCGGCCGGGTAAGTTTCGCGTCCAAATCCATGGTAGAAGGTGAACCTGGTCAAATAGACGACTACAGCAGTTTAAACCGTCAACCTCGTAGGTACGCGGACGCGGAAGATTCCTATGACTCTGCTATACATATAGTTAGAACTGCCAACCTCATCAACCCCACGGCGCGTGGCATCACAGTTTGGGGTGCAACACCACATTGATTGGTTTCAGCCTCACTCTGGTGCGTGTCGTATCCAATGTTGGACGCAGTTTCATGGGTGATGTATCCGTGGACAAGCACATGAAGCTTCGCAGCCGGGGAACGAAGAGTCTTGCGCAGAGCATTCATCTTTGCTTCGGAATCTGCGTTGGAGAAACATGTATGAAGAGTGGACGCAAGTAAAGTGGACGGCGCTACCTCGAGCAAACAACACCCACTCATGGGAGTCTCTCTACCAGTCAGTATACATAGTCTAGCGGAAGTCCAAATAGCCCAAAAAACGACGAATCAAACAAGGCAAGGATAGAGGAAGAGGTGCAACAAGTGCTGTGCCTTCCATTGCCCTCGAACTGCTGTGTTTCAACGAACTAACTTCGGTTTTGGCGCATCGGGAAATCCCGCTCTGCCTCATTATCCCGTCGAGTATAGCTTATCTTGAGAAAAAATGCTTGCGATTCACTAACCTTTCCCCTCGAAGAGTTCGACCGTCGACAGGCATCCTGCACGACCCGGTTCCAGACCAAGGCTTGGACCAAGGGCGAGCAGGAAAACCGCCAGACGATGCTGTCCTTGTAACGTGATGTATGCAGGACGCTTATCGTTGAATGCGGCTGGTGCGAGCCTTTCAGTTGATTTCAGGCCAAGGGGAAGGAATTGTGGCACGTGACAAAATGGGGGCCCTAAGCCAAGACATACACCGTGAAAACAGTGTTTCAATCTGAGATCCTGTTTTCAATCTCCAACCCTGTTTTCTGTGATACGTGTCAAAATGGGGTCTCTAAGCCAAGACATACACCGTGAAAACAGTGTGCCCTGTTACCGAGCGTGTGGCTGGCTTTGGCCACCAGTCGGATCCGGACTGTAGAAACAAATACATACAAAAAACGGTAGTAGCTTGTACGGTGCCCTGTTACCGAGCTTGAAGTTGGTTTAGGCCACTGCGACGCTCTCGGTAAGTTAGTCGAATCCGGAGTGCAAAAATATCTACAACATGATAATCGCTTGTACGGTGCCCTGTTACCGAGCGTGTGGCTGCCTTTGGCCACTGCCCCACTCTCCGTAGGTTAGTCGGATCCGGAGTGCAACAATATCCACAACATGATAATCGCTTGTACGGTGCCCTGTTACCGAGCGTGTGGCTGGCTTTCGACACCGCCCCACTCTCCGTAGGTTAGTCGGATCCGGAGCGCAAAAACATCTACAACATGATAATCGCTTGTACGGTGCCCTGTTACCGAGCGTGTGGCTGGCTTTGGCCACTGCCCCACTCTCCGTAGGTTAGTCGGACCCGGAGTACAAAAATATCTACAACATGATAATCGCTTGTACGGTGCCCTGGTACCGAGCGTGTGGCTGGCTTTGGCCGCTGCCCCACTCTCCGTAGGTTAGTCGGATCCGGAGTGCAAAAATATCTACAACATGATTAGTCGCTTGTACGGTGCCCTGGTACCGAGCGTGAAGTTGGTTTTGGCCGCTTCCCCGCCCTCGATAGGACTAGTCGGATCCGGACTGTAGAAACAAATACATCCAAAAACGGTAGTAGCTTGTACGGCGCCCTGTTACCGAGCTTGAAGTTGGTTTAGGCCACTGCGACGCTCTCGGTAAGTTAGTCGGATCCGGAGTGCAAAAATATCTACAACATGATAATCGCTTGTACGGTGCCCTGTTACCGAGCGTGTGGCTGGCTTTGGCCACTGCCCCACTCTGCGTAGGTTAGTCGGATCCGGAGTGCAAAAACATCTACAACATGATAATCGCTTGTACGGTGCCCTGTTCCCGAGCATGTGGCTGGCTTTGGCCACTGCCCCACTCTCCGTAGGTTAGTCGGATCCGGAGTACAAAAATATCTACAACATGATAATCGCTTGTACGGTGCCCTGGTACCGAGCGTGTGGCTGGCTTTGGCCACTGCGGCACTCTCCGTAGGTTAGTCGGATCCGAAGTGTAACAATATCTACAACATGATAAGTCGCTTGTACGGTGCCCTGTTACCGAGCATGAAGTTGGTTTTGGCCGCTTCCCCACCCTCGGTAGAATTAGTCGGGTCCGGACTGTAGAAACAAATACATACAAAAACGGTAGCAGCTTGTACGGTGCCCTGTTACCGAGCGTGAAGTTGGTTTTGGCCGCTGCCCCACTCTCGGTAGGTTTGTCGGATCCGGAGTGCAAAAATATCTACAACATGATAATCGCTTGTACGGTGCCCTGTCACCGAGCATGTGGCTGGCTTTGGCCACTCTCCGTAGGTTAGTCGGATCCGGAGTGCAAAAACATCTACAACATGATAATCGCTTGTACGGTGCCCTGTTCCCGAGCGTGTGGCTGGCTTTGGCCACTGCCCCACTCTCCGTAGGTTAGTCGGATCCGGAGTACAAAAATATCTACAACATGATAATCGCTTGTACGGTGCCCTGGTACCGAGCGTGTGGCTGGCTTTGGCCACTGCCGGACTCTCCGTAGGTTAGTCGGATCCGGAGTGTAACAATATCTACAACATGATAAGTCGCTTGTACGGTGCCCTGTTACCGAGCATGAAGTTGGTTTTGGCCGCTTCCCCACCCTCGGTAGAATTAGTCGGGTCCGGACTGTAGAAACAAATACATACAAAAACGGTAGCAGCTTGTACGGTGCCCTGTTACCGAGCGTGAAGTTGGTTTTGGCCGCTGCCCCACTCTCGGTAGGTTAGTCGGATCCGGAGTGCAAAAATATCTACAACATGATTAGTCGCTTGTACGGTGCCCTGGTACCGAGGGTGAAGTTGGTTTTGGCCGCTTCCCCGCCCTCGATAGGATTAGTCGGATCCGTACTGTAGAAACAAATACATACAAAAACGGTAGTAGCTTGTACGGCGCCCTGTTACCGAGCGTGAAGTTTGTTTAGGCCACTGCGACGCTCTCGGTGAGTTAGTCGAATCCGGAGTGCAAAAATATCTACAACATGATAATCGCTTGTACGGTGCCCTGTTACCGAGCGTGTGGCTGGCTTTGGCCACTGCCCCACTCTCCGTAGGTTAGTCGAATCCGGAGTGCAAAAACATCTACAACATGATAATCGCTTGTACGGTGGCCTGTTCCCGAGCGTGTGGCTGGCTTTGGCCACTGCCCCACTCTCCGTAGGTTAGTCGGATCCGGAGTACAAAAATATCTACAACATGATAATCGCTTGTACGGTGCCCTGGTACCGAGCGTGTGGCTGGCTTTGGCCACTGCCCCACTCTCCGTAGGTTAGTCGGATCCGAAGTGTAACAATATCTACAACATGATAAGTCGCTTGTACGGTGCCCTGTTACCGAGCATGAAGTTGGTTTTGGCCGCTTCCCCACCCTCGGTAGAATTAGTCGGGTCCGGACTGTAGAAACAAATACATACAAAAACGGTAGCAGCTTGTACGGTGCCCTGTTACCGAGCGTGAAGTTGGTTTTGGCCGCTGCCCCACTCTCGGTAGGTTT